GTGCATTAGTGTTACTCGACACATTGCTCCCTCCATTGCCCTTTGCGTAGCAGCTAATCTTCTCTCCTCATCTTTGATTGTTCTCCATGTTTCACTTCCATATACCAGTGCTGGTAGAACATGGGTGTTGAACACCTGAGATCTTATTGAGTTTCAATCCGTCTATCGGTGAGAACATCTCGGTATTTGTTAAATGTGGCCCATCCCGCCTTTCGACGCCGGCTGATTTCTCTTGTAAGATCATTATCCATCGTTATTGCTTGGCCAAGATAGGTGTACGATGAGACTTCTTCAATGACTGATCCTTTCATGCATAAACGATAGTCCACTGTCGTAGTTGTTTTTCATCCATTTGGTTTTTCCTGGATGTATTACAAGTCCAATGGATTGGGAGGCTTCGCTCAAAATATTCAGGGAGCTTTCGAGTGCACTCGGTTCGCTTCCAATCAAGACTATGTCGTCTGCAAACATCAAACGTATTGAAGTCTTTCGCCGTCTATCTCCAATGCCACAAAGCAGCTCGATTTGCCGCATTACAAGTTCTAAAGCCGCAGAGAATAGTTTTGGAGAGATAACCTCGCCTTGCCGTACGCCACGTTGGATCTTTACACGAACTGGTTCTTTGAGCAATTTTATGTCGATGTAGCAGTTCGTGTTACACTGTCGTATTATTATATAAAATAATGATAGAAAATTAATGTTAGAGGCTTTTAAGTAGGTACGTAAGTACAAACTGTCCCTTCACAGATGTCTTAACATTGAATATTGTCATAAGATGTTGCTCGAACGCTCTGTTGTGAAGCCGCTCGCGTGTACAGCTTTAACTAAGCTGTCCACGCGGTGGAGAAGCATTCAGTCTAACTTGATCCTCTCGCTTTTTCGCAAGTATCTCAGAGGATAGATCCATTATTGAATATTGGCAGGACTATTGAAATTGCGTCCTTTCTCATTAGTCCTGAGGGAATTTGTTGCGGAGATTGTTTCAAATTGCTGAGATTGCTGCGATTGCGATATTGCTGACCGCTGTACCCAGAATACTTAAAACAGTTTATTGCCAGAATTTGAGTATCGAGTAGAAGGCCGACGACTGACGACATTGGCCCTATGCAGAAGCAGTACATAGTGGACTGTGCATACGTTTTATTCTATTATCTTTGTTTTGCTGTATTTTTCTGTATTTTTATTTTGGAGCATTCTCGCTGGTTAGTGACCTCATCGGGTTAGAGACCGACACTCGTGGCGTCGTCCACCTATACGGCGTAAGCAAAGGCAACTCGCTCATGATGCATCGGTAGACTCGAACTTGAGCAATACAGTTCAACACCACAAGCTTGGTTCATGATGTATGGTTATCATTGTGATATAATATGTCTTCGACAAGGCATATGCGGCTCTACAACAAGAAATAGCTGATTTCACGAATGCTGAAAGGCGAAAAACCTCCATAATACCACCGCGCCGATATTTTCACTTTCTTTACCCAACATAAGTTTCGTACAACAACAATAGCAGCCCTCTCAAGTAATCCTACTATATATAATCCGCTAAGTTTGTCTGTTGGTGTGTGTGTGTGTGTGTGTGTGTGTGTGTGTGTGTGTGTGTGTGTGTGTGTGTGTGTGTGTGTGTGTGTGTGTGTGTGTGTGTGTGTGTGTGTGTGTGTGTTGTGTCCGGATAATTCATAACTTCTTCAAAACAGTGATAATGCGCTCAAACTGATAGATGATGTAGGAGGTCGGGCAGGAACATTATTGGTGGGTGGCAGGAAGCGATAGCAGTTGATAAGATACCATACCGGGGCTTAGAAGGGGAGGGTCACCAATTTCACAGAGCGGGTCACAGCGAGGACGGGACGTAGGTCCCGAGAGGTAAGATAGGAGGCAGGATGGGAACATTATTGGTGGGTGGCAGGAAGTAATAAGAGCTGATAGGATACCACAAGGGGCCTTAGAAAGGAAGGGTCACCAGCTCCATAGCGCGGAAAACAGCAAGGCTAGAAGCGTTCGGTGTGGCCAAGAAGTAAGATAGGTTTCAGCATGGGAACATTATTGGTGGGTGGCAGGACGTGATAACAGCTGATAAGATACCAAAAGGGACCTTAGAAGGGGAAGGTCACCAAATTCATGACGAGTGTCACAGCGACGGTAGGACGTTGATTCCAAGAAGTGAGATAGGGGACAGGATGGACACATTATTGGTGGGTGGCACGAACCGATAACAGCTGATAAGATACCATAAGGGGCTTCACAAAGGGAGGGCCACCAACTCCATAACATGCGTCACAGCGATGGCAGGACATTATCCAAGAAGTAAGATAGGGGGCATTACGGGAACACTATTAGTGGGTGGCAGGAAGTGATGACAGCTGATAAGATACCAGAAGGGGGCTCACAAAGGGAGGGTCATCAACTTCATAACATGCGTCACAGCGATGGCAGGACATTAGTTCCAAGATGAAGATAGGGGGCAAGATGAAAACATTATTGGTGGGCGGCAGGAAGTGATAACAGCCGATAAGACACCGTAGGGGCCACTTCGGAAAGGAAGCTGCCAAAATTCATAGCACGGGTTGTAATATCACTGGGGAACTGCTTCCAGCAGGCGGTTAGGGAGCATGGTGGGAAATTTTGGTGGTGGTAGATAAATTCTGATAGTGTCCGACAAGGCTTAAGAGTCAGTATCTATCGCATGTTCACTCTGCTTAAAGTTGACCACCGTTGCCAAAGAACCAAAGGGCAAAGGCCCAGTGGGCCCAGTGGGCCAAGTTGTTTCCAGCCCTTAGCGAAATCCCTTAGTTTGACGTTGAAATTGATTCGACCGCTAAACTCTGGAGTTTCACCCAAAATTAAAGGCCGAGATGTTTGTCAGTGAGAGATGATAAGAGCCACCAGCAGACGGATAAGTGAAAGCTGCTCAACGGAAGTAGATGTAGAGGCATTCACTACGATTTCGATATTGTTACCATCGAAACTCTTTCAACCACCAAGCTGTCCTATTTCCAACGAATGGCGAGTGTTGTTAGAAATGTGATAAGCACCAGACATTGTTCATTGAAAAGGTGCAAAAATTATGAAATGGGCCATATTTCGAAGCATGGGAATTAAGCCAAGTGTTAATGGTTAGCACAGAAGTCCTGTCAGTAAGGAGTACCATAGGTTGAGCCATGCGCGCAGTAGTGCGCGTCCAGCAGCTGTAATGAAAGATAAATCGAACCGTGCTATGATCGCCGATAGTGACAGTATGCCTTCATGATCTGGAACAAACTGAGGTCTCGTGCGAAAGAATGCATCAGGTATGTGTCTTTATCCTATGCCCAATTCACACGTTGACTGCAATCTGTGTCACCTACAGAGAGTGCAATACAGGAAGCAGTTCCGGGAACACTTCTAATGGGCAGAGAAGAAGTGAATGCGGGGGTGGTGCTCTTCTCATTTAACCTGATATCGTTGAGACTGCTATCGTGATTCAACCGTCCTTAGTGAAGCATGGACTTACCCTCGGCTAACCTGTTTTTTGTATTATATCTTGATCATAACCACTATATTCCCACGTGGTGGCACAACCTGTAGATAACAGTAATTCAAAACATATGGACAATAACGATTATCAGTAAAGGGCGCAAGTGGCTCACCAAAAAAGAATTAGGCGTGAGGTTCAGTGCATTGCAGTAGTCGACCACGGACTCGCACCATATTCGACGCGCGTTACCTGAAGGAGCGGTCGTAGCCGATTTGCCGACATATGCCTTGCGCTGCTGTAACAGGAGCGTGAACTATTTCAGGTATAAATCAGCTGGCAGAAGTCGAACTAAACTATTGTTGGAAAAAAGCAGACCTTTTTCGTCAAAAAATTGTTATTGAGCTGAGAGGAAGAATGACAGTTTTCGTTCTGTTCCGAAACTAAGGTTTCCATGATTTTTTTCCTATGCTATAGTCTAATCCTATTCCACTGGTAATCAGAGCACCAATCGTCCTGGTAATCAGAAGTTCGAATGCGTGATGTTGAAATCAGCCTCAACTATGGTTGCTGGAAACGGGAAAACCATTAAATGGCACTATTAAATTATTACTACCCCAAAAAGTCAGAAAGTCCATAAAGATAATTCGGTGTCCTAATCACGAACATAGCACTCGCTTTGGGCGCTGGCGCCGAATTGGCGCCAGTTTGGCGCCGCCAACTTTCCCACCAAATTGTAAATTTGCATGCATGGTTATTTGATGTCGCTACATCAAACGATTACCCGAGTTAGTTTTCCCCTGACGCCTAATGCGCTGCTGAAAGGCCACACCCTTTTCCACAAAATAGATAAAAACGTGCACAAATGGGGTTGTTTGATGCCCTGATCACGAATATGACATTCACTCCAGCACCATTTAACACTTTTCTAAGGCTGAGCCTGTGAGAATGAGTGTTTTCCTTTAGGTCAGGCCAGCAATACCAGAGCGCAGATAATCACAGCGTCTTCCATCAGCGCAGCGCCAAAAATGAATGTGATATATGCAATCGAGATGTTAAATGGCCTTCGTATACAAGCTTTCAGCGGATTTAGTAACCTAGGTTACTTCAGCGCCAGCGCCAAAAATACCTAGTTAGGCTCAAGGGGTGCGAGTCAAGTCAAGGTGGTCAGAATTAACCATCCTAAAACCTGCAGCTTTCATCCAAATCTGCCCACGTAGAGAATAACTCGATTAGGATCCGGCCTGTTCTTGGAAAACTGGGTTTGTTTTCCAGATAGAGTGCGTCAAATATGGTGTGAGTCCGCAGCCGACTATCGCAATGCATTCAACCTCACGCCTAAATTCTTTTGTGAGCCACTTGCGCCTACTGAAATCGTTATTGTCTAACTATAAGTGGTGCATCGGGCCATAACAACAAAACGTAGACTGCACAGGGCTGCGCAACTAGGATCTTTTCGCATTTAACATGCCATTCCTGGCGCTGATTGCCATACTGTACTACTGGATTCTGACGGTACAACACGTCTTCTTCCTTTGACATCGCTGTCGTTTCTTTTTCTCTACACCACATTGTGAACGTTGCAAAAACCTTGAGGTTTCGCAGGGAAAGAGTCAATTGTACCCTCTTTATAACTTGCAAGAACCCTTAAGAGGTCGCTGATAACAAACTGCTGCTTGGCAACATTACCTCGACGCCGTCCTAGCACTGGTCATGGGTGGAATTTTTATGAAATGAAAGTCGCCGAATTTTGTTTCTATTTCATTTAGAACTGAAGCCTCATTTTTTGAAGCGCGTTTGCCTGTTTTCACTCGATTTCTCGCCTCGTGCCGTTATTACAATTTAACAAAAAGGCAACCGCTTAACTAGAAGCATACTAGAGTTCAGGATTGGATGAATCATTAATACTGGCTCATACTGACGCATCGATTCACTACCTCAAAGTATCGGTCTCACTTTGTCTAAGGCGTTGAACGTGCTCTCGACGACTTACGATACCTCCAAACAAAAAAACTGCCAGAAGAGCAACAGATGGCAACTCAGGAAATACATGGAGCGGGTCACTCGCAGTTCTGATGGCACACCAACATTTGGTGAATATGAGCTAAGGAGGGAAATAGGAACAGAAAGCAATAAATAACACCAGGACCAATTTCCGACTGCTCATCCACAAGCTCACGCTTCCGCTAAGCAGACATCGTAGAAGACGTGGTATTCACTCAGCATGGCATGCCAATCAGACGCAGGAAACGCTCGGCGCACGTGGTGAAACAAGCTGTTTTCCATGGCTAGCGCTGCACTAGAAGCTTAAGCCACGGTTGCGGACGATAGACGCACACATCAAACCACGCAGCAACCTCCAGTCTGAAATCCTCTACCATGGGCCTCTATTTCAAAATTGCAGCAGTGGCGGTTATTTATCCCTACCAGTTAGTGTCCGCAGCTCTCAGTTTTTCCATGCTCATTCAAACAACTAAGCTCGAGCAGCGACCCGGTAGTGCGCACACACCGCGGCCCAGCGCCGTGTGTGCGCGCTAACCGGTGCTGCTGCGATCTGAGTTGCACGCGCAACATTACGGTTAAGCTTTAGAGGCTTGAAAACCTATCTTTCTCTATCATTTGGACGGCAGCATGGCATATGGGAGAAGCAAACACTTGGCAGGCTCACTGTCGCCACCGCCGCTTCTTAAGTCGCCATGGCTCGACTCGCAAACACCCTGTTGGGCTTAGACGAATATCGCCAAACAATCGACTGTGCTTCTTTCGAAGAACAGTTGGCAAGAAAGAAGCTCCCGATAACACGCCTATGTTCCGCATTACTTCTTTTAAGACTTAAGACACATTTACTGCCAGCAAGAAACAGAAACACAGCTACTCGCACATCGCCATGAATCGGTAAAGGTGTCATTCGACCTAGCTGCTGCTATCCTATCCGATGAGAACTACAAGAAAGAACCGATTGGCAAGAAAGCAATAACGCTTCGCCACATAACAAGCAGTAGGCCGTCAATGCCTTCGTGTTTGATTCCCAGCTACCATTTGTAATGACAGTAATCTAAATGCCTCTTAAAGGACGCGCCTTACAACGTTGTCTCATTATCATGAGGAGTTGTCCTTCTGTCGCATAATAGTTGACGACAAAATGTCGCGGACACCCTTACCAGCCCTTCTCGCTACGGCTGCCCACTATTTTGAAGTGTCACTGTCGACAAGTCGACAAATGATACAGTAAATGTTTGTAGTACACTGGATACGGGAATTACTAGTAGTTTATTTGATACATCAATTGTAATTAGTATACTGTAACTGATTGATGTGGAATATCTTTATTGTAGGGTTCACAGAAATTATTTTGGTAGTCGGGCTTATCTAAAGCCATCTATAACTCGTATACTCGTACATGGGTTCTACCTCGTCGTGGTGTACGAGCTTGAAGCGGGATCGGAATACCCGTCAGGGTAGAGTTACGCCGGAACCCCATACTGATTCCCGTGACGAAAGAACCCAAAGTGCCCAAGCTCTTGGTGGGACGGCGCTCTCCTTGAGCGACAGGAACGCCCTAACATATCCTGTGGGACGAAAAATCCTACGACCACTTCTTACATTTCGCCTTAGTTCCCTGCAGGCTGTCACTGCTCAGTCGTGTAGCGCTGGTTAAGCACACAGCCAAAGGCTCATAATCTCAGGTTAAGCTACACAAAAAGAGAAGGACAAGAGCGAGTCATCTGATAACCTGCACGTACAACTGCAGAAGTATCAGTTCGGCCGCTCAGCTTTCGGCACTCATCGACGAAACCCAACGGATCAAGTATCATGCAATCGGACTTGGCGAGACGAAGAGGAAAGAACCGCTAACATGCAAGTGGATGGACGGCACGACACAGTATACCTAGGAGCCCGCAAGCACAATTCAACTTCAGGAGGCGTTGGCTTTATCGTGTCACCAGACTTCAGAGAGCATGTACGAAGTGTCTTTCACGGTTATCGTTTCGCGTTGCTAAACGCCAGTATCTCCAAGGAAGTACAAGAATCGCCACCATACAAGTAAATATTGCGCTTACAGGCAGATTGCGAAAGGAAGAAGAAACACAACGACTTCTGCGATTCACTACGAGAGCTCGTATCACAGAACCAAGAAACGGCTAATGTCGTAGTGATGGGTGATTTCAACGCCCGAGTCGGATCGCGAAAGGACGGTGAATTATCGGTCTCCACGCTGCTGAGCATCGCAACGACGCAGGAGAAAGGCTCTTCAAAAGTTTTGGGCGAATCGCAGCCATCTTCTTTCATAGGCCAGAAGACCCATAGACACACAAAAACTTGGTAATATTTATACTCCAGTGAATCCAAAAAGTTTTGTTTTGGCTTCTCAATCTGTACATGGCGATCCTCTGGCTCTTGAGCAACAAAAGTAAGCTCAGTAACCTCTCATCAGGAAAGCATTAAGACATGCCCTACCCATATTGTCCAGCTTGATGTTTTGGCACATGTAAAACAAAATTAAAGGTGAGATAAGTCTAAAGCCAATCTGAAACTTTGTTACCCTTTGCCACTGATAGAGGGTGAATATGAAACAGGGTCGCAGGCACGCAATTGGAGACTTTTTGAATAGCTCGCTACTGTAATTTCTTTGTTCACAAAATCTTTGTGCATGAGGGCCTGACTTTCTCTGCCGAATCAACATGGCTCGATCGATAGACAGTAGAAGAGTAGAAGGGCAAACGAGTACTCAATTATGCACTGTGGTCGAGACAGCAGCTCTGAGGGCTCGAAAGTCCCCGCCAACCATTCCGTGTGGTAACAATGAACCGAACCCGCCAAGAACTCACTAGTGGTTTTGTGGGCATTCTTTGGCCTTGTAGCCTTCTTTTCCGCAACGGTTTTAGGATGACTCTCTTATTTTCCTCCTCTTTGTAGAAATTATGGAAATCCCTTGGCGAGCGCGTAGGAGGGAGGTCACGCCCTGAATACAAATAGCGCCTGCATCCGTATATGACTTGCTCCCAGTGTGAAGTTGGCGGGCAACGGGCGAAGGAAGCTGGGCGCCAGGCTGCTTCCTTGCCACGAAAAGGTGGCGGCGAGGAAGACTTTCGGTTCTGCTCGCTTCTTGTCTCCCTTCCAAGAAACTGGACGACTTGCGGTGTGGATCCGCGATTAACAAAGTGTTTCAATTCCTCCCAGCTAAGTCCCAAATAGACACCACTCTCGACAGCACTACATTCTTTAACATTCTGCAGTGTGGATGACTTTCTAATGATGGTATAGAATCATACTGGCGTCCAAATCCATCTTTTGGATGAATGAGTCGAAGGTGCTTGAGACGTTGTCGGCGTTTCCGATTTCACTGCTTGAATTATCCATTGTATATCTCTAGGGTACAGACCAGTGACCCTTTCCATTAGTTCTTCCTCGAATATTTGTTCTTCTGGCTGTTGATTGGGTAAAGGTTTCATTTCTTCTTGAAAAGGAATATCTCGGCCGGTGGGCATATCTGACAATTTGTAGTGAGAAGCGAGCAATATGCCGACGCAATACAGGTGCGGAGTGGCGAAAACACCACAGACCGCTCACGATCAACGCAATATCCTGAAATAACCCTCCATCCCATACCAGGCCACCAGAGATCACATGCCATCCGGCCAAAGATCACGCTCTTGCGAAACAACGTGATCCTAAGGGTGAATTGGGGCACCATGTCATCCCTGGTATACAGTATAGTCGCCATTTTGCTATAAATCAAAATATCATTTTTTGAGCCTAATCGCCCTCAGATTCGAACAAAAATTTTGGAGGTAATGTTTCAAATCCGGAAATTGTAATTTTATTACAAAACTGTACAAGAGGTGATTGAAAAGAATCTATGCCAAACCTATTCTAAATATTTAACAACGTAAAATATCTTCAAAATATGCGAAGCAAATGCACAGCCAAACAACAACAAGTCGAAGCTTTATCATCAATCTAATAATGTACAAAACTGTGAACTGTCATCTTCTATGGACGTGACCATACCTCGGTTCCTACAGGGACTTGCGAGACTCACCTAAACAAAAAAGCGTTATGGAAGCGATGACAGTCACATAGCGAAAACAACTCCATGGAACCGAGGCATGAGAAATCTCTACTATTCCTGAGTGACTAGCAAAAATTATGCAACAAAAATTTATTATTTCAACAATATTGGAAAAATTACAACCTCTTTTATTAGCTGAAATCATGATTAAAAACTACCCTATCCTATCTCTAAAACTCTACAACTTCTTTCAATGACTTGCTCTCCGAGGACGCCCTGTAGACAGGGGAAGGTTTTCTAAGGCGCATAAGGAGCATAAGGCGGGCTATGAGATTCGAAGGTCAGGAACGCGCAGAACGTAAGCTGTCGCGCAGCAGCGAGGGCGCCCGCAACTCGAATCTCCTGACCCGCACTCCGGCGCTTGAAGACACACTGTATGATTACCACGAGGTGAATCAAGCTTTAGGTGGGCAAGTTCCTAGCTGTAGGATTGCTGCGCTTTCGCCACTCGAATGGGCCCGGTATAAAGACAGGGGATTGTGACAGCTCGATGTACCTCGTGTATCGGATCGCGTTCGATTTGACACGCCACAAGCTAGGATCTTGCCAACACACTCGCTGAAGGATCAGGGTAAATTGACCTTACAGCGGACGAAGTCGTACGCCTTTTTGTACGGTGGTCGTGTGGCGTGTGGCGTGCGTGTGGTGCGTTTGATGCATATTGCACAGGCGGAAAACAAAGAGCGTCTAGCAATTGCGACCCTTTAACTTCATTTTCACGCGACTTTGAGAGGAGAAATGGTCCACTCCCACAGCTACAAACCTGTCGACATCGAAAATAGAAAGAATTCACCACCAAAGGTAATCCCACAGTGCGTCTTTGGCAAACATTTTGCCAAAAGACATCATCATACAGTAAGACTTGATTTAGCCCGTGACTAACAGAAATAAAAGTGAAGCATTTGACCAGCAATGCAAGTAAAAATCGACTAGAAACCCGCCGGATCTACAGCGAACACGGAGGTTATGGAACTAAAGAAACTAACAAGGCATTATTAGAAGAAAAGGCAGTGAGAAAACGTTGTTCACTGCTTGGACAACCTTTCAAAACATGACGAAAACATACCAAATGCACAGAGCTAAACAACTTGGTGAAATTGCTTCAGTCATTCTGATTGCCCCCTAAAAGGACCGTAATACAACTCTCTGCTAATCCTAATATTCCACTTGGATGTGACTTTGACAGAGAAGGTTTTTCACGAAACACGAGCTGAACACCCCTACTCCGATGCAATGCTGCCGGCTCAATGCCGACTGATGTTCCAGACCGCACAACGAGGAATTCCTCGCCACCTAGGAGTCTACAATTCACAATGAATGCGTTCAAATATGCCTTCAAATTTGCGAAAAAGCAGATAAAACAAATTGTCGCCTCATTTTCAAGTGTTTTTTCTACATATTTCTAACAGCACGCTACTAACCTTTGAGCAATACGTTAGAGGCAGCGTCCACGGGTAATGATGATAGCCGTGGGAAACGGGGTTTCGGCAGTTGCTGCGCTTGTTCCTGTGCTTCTTCTTCTTTAGTTTGACTAGCAGAATTAGTAGTTTCGTTACGGACTACTGATGGCCTCACAACTGGAATCTGGAAAAACATTAATTATTTCAGTTTGGCCTCAATAAACATAGCAACTAACGCACTTTAATACCACGGTTCCTTAGAGCAAGCTCAAGTTGCTCGACCCTTGTCAGCAACTCAGCGATAATCTGAAGACAACAACAAATTTAGCGGATAAATTTGGAAAGCTAATATACACAGTTCAAAACAAACTGGAAAACTTACCTTTTCGTTTTCTTCCTGAAAATCCTCAAACTCATGTAATTTGAGCGTTTCTTGTGCGGTAGCTTTCGTATACAAATAATAGCCCCAAAATACGCCTAGAGAATATGAGAACAACACAAGCTGTTGCACGAAATCAGATGCCTGAAATAAATAAAGGGTAAATG